CACTTACCAATACCTTACCAACCACTTGCCAATACCTTACCAATCACTTACCAATACCTTACCAACCACTTACCAATACCTTATCAATCACTTACCAATACCTTACCAACCACTTACCAACACCTTACCAACCACGTACCAATACCTTACCAACCACTTACCAATACCTTACCAATACCTTACCAATACCTTACCAACCACTTACCAATACCTTACCAATACCTTACCAACACCTTACCAAACACCTTACAAACGTCTTTAATACCAACCAATTAAGGAAACCTTACAAACCAATCAAATCACTTACTGACACCTTACAAACCATTTACGAACCAGTTACTGACACCTATAAATCACTTACAAACCTTTTACTGAGTCCTTAAAATATCACTTACAAACCTTTTACTGACACCTTACAAATTACTTACAAATCACTTACTGATACCTTACCAACCACTTACTGACACCTTACAAACCTGACTTACCATGCACTTACATTACCAACCACAGTGTCGATTGATCTCTAGCCATGCAACATGCTGCATAATAATGGTATTTTTTGTACACAATGGCAAAATAGATCAGAATGCATCTTGCTTATCAAACTCAGAAACTATAAAATAATATATAATCTTATGTGCTTTTAGTGGCCAGCCAATCCCAAGAGTGACGTACACAGAGGAGGAAATCCGTACCTGGTAATAAAGGAATGATGTATTTCAAATAGCATAACACAGATTCCAAAGTATTGTGCATCAAACTCGAGGCTCAGTGGATAACAATTTGATGTCAGTTCCTTTTTATAATTCATTTGAACCATATACAGAAACCATCAATTTTATCAATACCCTAAAGCCATCACACCAACCAGTTGGCTCTGTTGGTTAAGCATTGGATTTCTGTGAAGGAGGTGTTAGTTCGAGTCCCAGTCGGCCCTCTGGGCTGACCTAAGTCAGGATATGGTGTACTCACAGATAGAACCCTGAAAAAACCACTGGGGGATGATCTAAGTTAGGGCACAGCTTACTCACAGATCAAACCCTGGAACAACCTCTGGGCTGATCAAAGTCAGGGCACAGCTAACTCACATTTCAAACTCTGAAACAAACTCTGGGCTGATTTAAGTCAGGCCCAGCTTACTCACAGATCGAAGCCTGAAACAACCTCTGGGCTGATCTAAGTCAGGGCATGGCTAACTCACAGATCGAACCCTGAAACAACCTCTGGGCTGATCAAAGTCAGGGCACAGCTAACTCACATTTCAAACCCTGAAACAAACTCTGGGCTGATCTAAGTCAGGGCACGGCTAACTCACAGATCAAACAACTGAAATAACCTCTGGGCTGATCTAAGTCTAGGCACAGCTAGCTAAAAATGCACTTGTAACCGAGATTAGATTAACCTGCATGGTGGCTCTGGGGGAGGGGGATTGGGGAGGAGGGGGAGAAGGAGAGCCTGCCGGCAACCCCTAGGTTTTTTGGTTACTTACACCCAAATACGTGCGCGTAATTCTATTGGCCGAAACAGAATAGAGAGTTGAAAGTCAAACAGGCTAGAGAGTTGAAAGTCAGGGTTTTTTGTACTTGCAGGGATTTGGTGTTTACTGAACTAACCAAACTCTACCCAACCCATGCTTGCCGTGAGCACAATTTTGTGTGGCCACTTCTAGTGCAGAACTGTGGATACAGGTGAGACTAACAAGACCTATCCGGGCCGATCCAAACACGTGTAAATGACGTCAATGTGTTTGATTGACAGCAGTCTATTGCAAAGTGCACGTCACGATTTTTATCTGGGGTGGCCATGTAGCAATGCAAATGGTAGTAAAGTATTGATGTATGATTCTGAATATTTCTACTGCCTGACACCAGAAATCAAGATATAGTTATTACGTGTATATGACCTCCTAGATCCTATGAGCTTCTGAATGTTAATTGACCGCGCCCACCAGAAGTGACGTCTATTGACAGTACTGTAAACTATTGACTTTATGTTGACAACTTGACTGTTGATTTCTTGACTTCTTACTTGTTTTAGAATTGGTAACATACCACAACAGCAAGATGTGTCTGACTTTCTAAAGAGTAAGTACAAGAATTATTATTATACAGGGCTATTTCAAAACAATGTTGGTCAAGGTGTTGTTGCAACTTGCCTCTCACAATGCATGATTCTTACTAAGCTTGAAATGTATTATATTCATAAATATTGCCTTCGTCAGCACAAAAGCTATTTAGCTGGTAAAACATACAGAAAAAAATTTAGGAAAAATTCATATGGTTGTGTCCTTTGGATGGCAGTGTTAACATGTTCCATGGTTCAGTCAGGTCTTATTTTGCAACATGACAAAACTTTCTCATACTCATTAATAATTCATGAGGAAACCAGCCAATCGATGGACTTTTTTTGGGTCACATGATGTTACTTGAAACCTGGTAAAGTCCTCTGAAAGGACTGAATTCAGTCTGTAGTAACTGGAATAAAATTAATTCAGTCCTAGGACTGAATTAATTTTGTTCCAGCTACTCCAAGTCGAATAACTAATGAGCATGAGAAGTTATTTCAAAGCCACCAATATCAGACTGGACAGGATTTCAAGTCCAAGCAATTAGTTCCAACTAATTAGTTTAATTGTAATTGCTTGGACTTGAAATCCTGTCCAGTCCTCATTTTCGGCTTTGAAATATTACTTCACCAACCTGTTTCGAAGTAGCTGTATAATATCAGTAACAAAGAGAAGCGTCTTTCACATAATGCATAAAACGGTTGATAAGAACTGGTCCCCAGGAAGCCTATCTTTATAGTCACACCTTGCTTGGACAAGAATATTAGTAGATCAGGTGGTTATAATACTGAAATGGTTGTCTTGTAGAGTGTACAGGATTCACTTTGCGCCCAGTGGCTGGTTTATTGTCCTCTCGTGATTTCCTTGCGGGACTTGCTTTCCGTGTCTTTCACAGCACACAGTATATTCGTCATCCATCAAAACCAATGTACACACCTGAACCGTAAGTAAGATTCAATAATATGCATGCTTCAGAGATTTAACTTGTATATTTATGATAAAAATGCACTTGACATGTATGCGCACAGGAGAGTTGCTAAGTAGCAAAGTGTGCCAAGTGACTAAGTGCGCGCCAACAACATTCACCGGCACACTTTCTAATTAACCAATCAGACTATACCTTTATACTTTAGCTATTTTATCACTGATTTTTTCTTGCTCCATTTAGTAATAAAGTGTTTAGTAAAGTGAAGTACATGTAAGCACGAAAGAAGAGTGAAGAGAAGCACGAGGAGATGGAGAGTGCTTCTCACTTCTTATAATGCATGGGTGTCTGCAATCTTATATCAGTATTTTGTTCATGTTATATTTTTTTGTTGTAGTGATATTGTCCATGAGCTAATTGGCCATGTACCATTGTTTGCTGATCCTGACTTTGCACAGTTTTCACAGGTATTGTACAACTATTCCACTAGTCACTTGTATTTCCTAGTATATGAACCAGCCTTCCAGCAAGTGTTCTTACTAAGGGTGCTTTCCATTAAGTCTAACCGACCAGTCCGAGCAGCCAGTTCTCAAATGGTACATGTCAGTTCTCATTAGTTTTTTTAACTTGGTCAACCAGTTCAAGAGAACTGACGCGTACCATTTGAGAACTGACCCCTCGGACTGGTTGGTTCGACTTAATGGAAAGTGCCCTAAGAGAATACCAGACTGTGTCAAGTGGGACAGTTCAATCCCCCCCCCCCCCTCTTAGTTGGTAAATCTGTCGTGTTGTCAAGTCTTAAAAACCCATATTTGTAACATGCCAATGGTGACACAAGCTCACTAGCTCCAATAGACAATCCATGTTGTCATCAATGTCTTCTGCATTGCATGCTAGTAATATGACCGACAGTGGTTTTGTATCTTTAGGAGATTGGATTAGCTTCTCTTGGTGCCCCCGATGAATGGGTTGAAAAGCTTGCCACTGTAAGTATGTAGGCCAACCTTTCTTCTTGGTTTGCTTTTAAAAATTCCATAAATTTTTTGAAAAAAAAGTTAACAAAAGATTTCTTTATTTGGTGACAGCTGTACTGGTTTACAGTAGAGTTTGGTCTTTGTAAACAAGATGGAGAGATCAAAGCATATGGTGCTGGCTTGCTGTCTTCCTTTGGAGAATTGCAAGTAAGAAAAAATGTTTTTACTTTATTAATATTTCCCACAAATCGTGTTAGGGAATGACACTTCAGGGGAGGGGAGGGATGGTTTCATCATCACCTCACCCCACCCCACTACTTTATTCAGTCATTTTATGTAAAGGATCTAATGCATTAGTAGAGTGATAGGAGTGGAGAGGAAACTTCTGACAATGTTAGATAATAAGAATAAGGATGCTAGTGTAGGTGTGGTTGATGATGATGATGACGTCCACAAAGATTCAACAGGTTTTTCATACCAAAATAAAATGCAGAAAAGCCAAGCACTTAAATAAATAAATATTACTGCTTTACCACCGTTTTCATTTCTATGTACTTTTCTGACATGGAAATCAAGCAATATATGTACATGTGCGTCAATCAAATAAATCATTAGTCTATATAAAGGTACATGGGAACAATGAGAAGGTACATGGGGACAATGAGAAGGTACATGGGAAACTAGTCTAACCATTTATTTGACTGTTGTCTTGCTCAGCACATAGCCTTCTGTAACAATACAATTGTTTTCATATGGCTTTCTTTTATGAACTTCAATGGAACCTTCTGTAAAAGAACTTGGTGGCAATTCTTTTTTGTATTTCCATGTTAGCCTAGCATTTAAGAGAGTTATAAGAAGGGTTAATTTCTGATGATTTTCTCAAATGGCTGCAGTATTTATCAAAAGTCTTGGGCTACCTGTGCATATTTCGTCACACAATAAGAAAATAAGGGCTATCAGTATGAGACTTGTATTCTGAACCTATCGTACTCTCTTTGTGCTCAGTATGCATTGTCTGACAAGCCAGACAAACGTCCACTGGAGTTAGACAAGACAACTGTACAGAAATATCCCATCACTTCCTATCAGCCAATTTACTTTGTGGCTGAGAGTTTCAAGTCTGCTCGTGATAAAATCAGGTAAGAGAATTTAGCTGATTGGTTAAATCACATCCTGTTTAACATTAGTTTTATTTATCCCACAAGACCTATCGTTCGCGAATCATTAATTTTCTAGTTTTCCAAAGTGTTAACCACTTTTTTGACTTCTCTCATCCACCCATTTATTCACTAAATCTTACTCTAAAACCACCTAAGAATTTATTCCATCCATTTAACCACCCATCCATCCTTCCATTTCAACATACATTTACCCTTCCATTTACCCATCCTTTCAGCCATTTATCCATCCCTCCATCCATTTACCCATCCTTCCATCCATTTACCCATCCCTCCATCCATTTACTCATCCTTCCATCCTTTACCCATTCTTCCATCCATCCATTTACCCATCTATCTATCCATCCGTTAACTCATTCCTCCATCCATTTACCCATCCTTCAATCCATTTACCCATCCTTCCATCCATCCATTTACCCATCCGTCCATCCATCCATCCTTCCATCTATCTACCCATTCCTACCTCCATCCATTCTACCACTCCTCCCTCCCTCCATCCACCCACCCACCCATTCTTTCATCCATTCAACCATCCCTTTGTCCATCCATCCAACTATCGATTCCTTCACCATTCTATCCACTTACCAATCCATCCTTCGATCCATTCAGCCATCCATCTACTTACCTTTTCCCCCATCCTTTTTAATGTTACCAGGGAGTTCTCTGCTCAGATTCCAAGACCATTCAATGTTCGCTACAACCCCTACACACAAACCGTGGAAGTGATTGACTCCAAGGACCAGCTGGTCAAACTGACCAGCGACATCAGATCAGATGTCAGTACATTACTGAATGCATTAGAAAAGTTACAATAAGAATATGGTTTGTCTTTCTATGGCATTTATGGTATTTATAGTTTGATACACTAGACATAATGTCTGTGAAGTGAGTAATGTAAAATTCATTAGATAAGTTACAATAAGATTAAGGTTGGTCTTTCTGTACCATGGTATAATAAAATAATAACACGTATTTATAGTTTGATACACTAGACATAATATATGTGGAATGAGTAATGTAAAACGGATTAGACAAGTTACAATAAGATTAAGGTTTGTGTTTCTATGGCATGGTATAATGAAATAATAATACGTATTTATAGTTTGATACACTAAACATAATATTTGTGAAGTGAGTAATGTAAAATGAATTAGATAAGTTACAATAAGATTAAGGTTTGTCTTTCTCTGCCATGGTATAATGAAATAATAACACGTATTTATAGTTTGATACAAAAAACTTGTTTTCAAAACGGTTTCTTTTTACTGTAAGAAAAAATATATTGCAGGATATTTGTACTCACTCTAAGCTTTTTCCTGCAATATTTGTACTCTACTGAGATAGTTGCATAGCAATAATACGTATTTATATTTTCTCACGCAATGTGATTTGGTTTGACAGTTCCATGACCTTGACGTGACCATGTTCGCGCCGTGTTGCGGGTATTTGATTGGATGGAGATTTTATTCTTCTGCAATATGATTGGTCTGACAGTGCCGAGAGCTTGGCGTGACCGTGTCTGCGCGGTGTTCGTGGCATGTTTCAGGCATTTGATTTATTGAGTAAATTTGAGTAATGTAATCCTTTATATGACACATCTTGGTATGCTTGATATGCAGTGGGATGCAAACTTCTGAAAGGAAAATAAGTTCCCATTCTTTGTTATTTTTATAGTTGTCACAATAAACTACTATCAGCTGTATAGCTTGTTACTTTGCTTCATCAGAGGTTTAGATGAGTTTGAGTTTAAATTGAGTTTCCACTGAAATAAGGCTGCGTTCATAATGTATGGCAGATTCCCGATCCTCCCTCAATTTCACCTGCCCCCTCCCCTCTGCCATACATTATGAGCACAGCTGAACGGCGCTTAGTCAAATCCAACTATCATCAAAGCTGCGTTCTGATTGAAAGAGCTTCTAGTAGGCTATAAGTTATAGCCTACTAGTAGCGAAAACTGTAGGCTTTAAAAGCCAAAAAAATAAATTTAACTTTAATTCAAAACTTGTTTGCATCTAAATATTTGATCGACCAGTTGTATTTGACTAAAACAAATAGTCCAATCGCCCTCTTCTTATCTTGGTTATAGGGGAACGAAAAATGAAGCTATATAACCATTGTTCCCTTTTTTTCTTATATTGGTCTTACTTTTGCATGAGGAGAATTAGAGGAGAATTCCTCTACATTAACCAGTTTTTGGAAAAACTATTGAAATCCCTTGCCGCGAATCGAGGAAGCTGACTAGATATCTATTCTGAAATGCTTAAAGATAGAAGAAAATAGTTAAAAAATCAAAACCATTTCAAAAACTATGAATCCATAATATTCAATCTTGTCACTGGAAAAGAATTGGACCGCCGTGAAGGCATTTAGAAATCTTGCGCTTTGATTGGTTGCGGTATTTAAATAGTTGCGCATGGTATGCACTTGTCCCATCAGCCCCTTCGGTCGTCACCAAGCAAAAAAAAAAAAAACACATGGAGGTAAGTTGGCTCGAAAAGGGGACGAAAAACATCGCTATTATACGGTAAGAAACGTTCAGAAGCTAAAAAATAACTCTCGTGTTATTTAATTTAAATGTTTTCACTTCTTTGTTGGCCTTTTTCCCTGGTATTTGCTGTCTTTTCGTTGAATTAGCGAGTGTTTCTTGTGGCACGTGCGAAGTTGTCGTGGACGTAAAGACATGTTTTTAAACATGCATTTTTTGTTCATAGGATGGTTTTCTTAGCTTTGAACAATTGAAATATGTGTATTGATATTTTTTCGAACATCTTTGCCCAATTTTCCATTTCTTTAAAAGAATTTCTAGAACCAATTTTCTTCGTACTTTGAAGACAAATACCTCTCCTCACCTACTCCTCCCTGAAAACAAAAAACCAACAATGGAATGTTTTGTGTAGGCATATCATGCTTTGTGAAAATAAATGTTTTCTTTGAATAATTAAGCTTATGGAAAACATTTTACATAAAATAGTACAAGATATTTTTTCAAAATATTGATTAGAGAGATTCCATAAAGATGCTGACACACGGTGCAACTTTGCTTGCAACATTGCACGCAGCAGGACTGTTGCAGCGTGTCCACACGCAATGTTGCATGCAACAAATCTGAAGTTGAATTGCGCTCTACTCTTGCAACATTGCACGCAACATATATCATCATGTGAACATAGCTGCAACATTACCTCCAACATTTTGAAATTTCCAGCCAATCAGCTTGCACCAAATTTATAACTGCTGACCAAATATCTTAACATGGCAGGCTGACACAAGCTATGTTGAGTGATTTTGTTGCAATGTGTGTCACTCCAATTTAAATTTGTTGCTTGCAATGTTGTGTGCAATGTTTCACTGTGTGCCAGCACCTTAAGTCATAGTTCTCTCTCCTTTGTTCTTGGTGGTCACTTAACTAACGACTTGTTGCAGTTATAATAAGCGATTATTGGATGAGGTTGAGCATGATATTTTATGCAATAACCGAGTTCAATAATTGCTCAGGACTCTCCATTTTTCTTTTCATATTTGGAATCAGCATTTCACTCTAGTAAATTGTACTCTATATCCCAAAAAAAAGTTTTAAATGTTCTCCAAAAGTAGCCAGTCACCATAAGGCTGTGTTCAAAATGTATGGTAGGGGGGG